CTTCCTTCCTTCCTTCCTTCCTTTCTTTGTTTCTTTCTTTCTTTTTCTTTATTTTTCTGGGGATTTAACTCAGGGGTGCTTTACCACTGATCTGTAGCAAAGTCTGAAGATGATGATGATGATGATGATGATTTTGAGATAGGGTCTTGCTAAGTTGTTTAGAGTCTCTCTAAGTTACAGAACTTGTGATTCTCCTGTGTCAGCCTCCCCAGTTACTGGGATTACAGCCATTGCCACCACACCCTGCATGGAGAGCCATTTTGAAGATTGCAGATAATATATGAGAATTGTTGAGTATAATACCTGTAACATAGTAGGCATATAATAAGTTCAGGAGAAATTTAAGTATTTAATAGAATTTTCTTTCTTTAACAATGTCCTTAGTTTTGGGTCACTTGTATTTTTTTTTATGAAGTGAAGGATAGTTATGATATTTAAGGGCAATACACAAAATTGATAGACAAAATAAAGAATATTTTTATAAGCCAAATAATTTCTCACATGATTTTTATATCCTCCACAAATCTTCAACATGTTGCCATCATTTAGATAGCAGCAGTGAATCCCCCAGCACCACACACACACACAAAAACAAAACAAAACAAAACAAAATAAACTCCACCACTGTCTGTTTCTGTAGTATTACAGACTCAGTTGTATAGGTCCTTCTATTTTGTCTATTGGACTAATAACAAGTAGACTTATTGAATATGCAGAATAATAGTGTGTCCTGATTTGCAGGAAATAAGGTGACTTGCCCGGTGAAGGCCCTTGCCCAGACACCTCACTCAGAAGACTCCATGACATCAGCAGGAGAAGACTATATTCAAGACTTTGTTAGTATTTGTTCTCAAAGTACTTTATAGTTTGGATAATGTTCCAATTCTTAAGTTGAAACAATATAATACTAAACGTAGTTTAAAGAGATGCAAATTATTTCCTTTGATTCTATTTCCTCAAGGTAAGCTTCTGAACTAAACAGCATTCAAATCTATTGATTATGGTTATATAATTTTCAATTTATAATAGAAAATAAAGGGTAGGAAATTGTCAAACACTGATTTGGTAAATGAGTCTCTTTAACAAGAAAAGAAATAAAAAATTTATAAGTTCCAGGAAAATAAACTATTCAAATCACCTAAAGTTACATAGTTCATAGAAGAAGTATCGGGTCAGAAAATGATCTTCCTCTAAAATCAGGGTGCATTCTTTCTCTGTTGATGGTCTGGTGCTCTCTTTTTTATCAGTCACGTGAGTCTTTGCAAAAAAGTGTCTTTATCTGAGTTTCCAGTGTTATTCAGGAGAAAATACATTTAGAGAATAGGTACCTTCTAAAAAAGAATTTTTAATTCATGGCAAACACTAGCTCTGGTGTATGGGTTGGATACCCTTGAAGTTGTATTTCACAATCAAGGCACTGAACTGTCCCTACTTGAACATGGTACCACCTGAATACCATAGTGCCTTGTGATGTTACTAAAATGAGGAGGATTGGCTAGATCTTAAACTAAATGCCATCTGTTACTTGGCCAATGCCTTTCGGCATCAGACCTTGGTAGTCTGAAGCAACTGAAATCCAAATGTCTCTGACTGCAAAAAGCAGAAATGAGACATTACCTCCTCTGTATCACTGTTGCTTTCTTTGTCCAGTGTGGACCCTCACTGCAAGCTGCCACGGTTGTTCCCTGGCCTGGCTGCCACCCTGTCCTCCATGTTCCATCTGGCCTGCTCTGTGCCTTCTGCCCCTTCTGTTTGTTGCTTCCTTCTTCCAGTCTTCTCTGCTTCTCTGCTCCCTAGCCCTTCCATACTCTCTTAGTTTTCTGAAGTGTGATTGGCCAAATGCTGTCATTAAACCATAGATATATCTTTCTTTCTGGTTCTAGGCCATCAGGCTTTGGTCTAGTTTTTGGCTTATTGCTTTCTTTTTAGGAGCTGTTGCTATTCATCTTCAGGTAATCTCCTTTCCACATCTCTCTGGGGCTTGCACTGTGCGTGACGCTCATGTTGATTGAACACTGGAAGTCTAGCCCATGAATAACTAGGGGATAGCCAAATCCTATTCTGTCACTCTCGATGTAGCAGACAAATGGTCTGTAGTAAGCTATTTGCTACAAAAAGGTCACTAGAAAAATAAAATCATAATCCATTTCCTTTGAAATGGCACAGCATATTAATAAGGCAATTCTGATATGGATAAAATAGAGGTTCTTATGGTATAAAGATCAAAAAATAACAGTAAACACATTTTCTTGTCTGGGTAGGTTTACAACAAATAAATAAATATAAAAAAACATCCATCTGTAGTTTTTTACACATAAGACATTTCAGATTTATTATATGCTACATTAGCAAAACTGAGTACAATAAAAGAAGAATATAGCAAATGATGACATATGGTAAAAAAAATAAAAAGAAGAAACAAGAAATAATGCATGCAAGACATTTGATAAGGAAAGAAAAAGATGAATAAAAAGCATACAAGCTAAGAATGTACAGATTAACATAAGAGAATGGAAAGAGATAAGAAGCCAAATAAAGAGGGAGAGAATAAGGAAGTTGTTGGGGAGATCGAAATCATAAGAAAAACATAAAAGCTCATTTTCCTCCTTTGATATATCATGTTTTTCTTCCAACTAAAGTTCACGTAAAAGCATGACTAATTTTATGGGAACTAATTCCATAAATTAATTTGTACAAATAAGTGGAATTTCCTATGGGTCAGAAGTGGCAGGTTGACTCATGGATAATGAACAATGACTAAATATAAGAAATAAATAAACCATAGACGCCCACTGACAATCTTCATCCTGAGCTCTAAATGATTTTTTATTTGGGATTAAAGTCATTTAGCAATAATTCAACCTTGTTTCTGGTCTTCCAAGCCCATGTGGTCCCTATGACTGAAGTTTCTTTTTGCTAAATTCTTTGATGTGTGCCTCTCTGTCAGGTTTACATTAGGCTGGAGCAGCAGGTGAAATGGTCCATGTGCTTCTCCATTAACATGGTACCAAGCCAGCTCAAGAAAAGCACTTACAGTCATCCATATTCCACATGGTAATGAGGAACATGTAGGCTCCAGAGAAAAGAATCTGCTTGTCTCCTTGCTAACTTATAAGCCACTTGACCTTGAGTATATAACCATCCTTGATTATATAACCATCCTTCCTCATTTATAAAAGAGGGACAGTAATGGGCTTCACCTCATGAGTTGTTTTGAGAAGTAAATGAGAGATTGTGTATAAATTCCTCAGCACAATGCCAGGTCCATATTTAAGTGCTCAATGACAATTTTTATTGTTATTATTACCATCTTCCAATTCATGAAAGCAGGTCATATTAATTATACAATTTGTAAAGTCAATAACAGACCATCAATGACAATAGTACAAATATACTTGTTTAAACAGTATTCCAATATTCAGGAATATTTGACATTGTCTTCAGATGCAGGCCCGCTCTTATGGCAAGGAAGGATATAACACCCTCTTCCAGGCTGGGCAAGCACCTGTAATCAGTTGATTTCTACAACAAAATATTTAAATTCACATTCAGTGGGATAAGTAAAGACTAACCAACCTCACAGTTTTTCTGCTAAGGTCTACTCTATTAATTTCTAGTGAACAGAAGCCAAGTTTTAATTTTCTTTTTTAAAAAAAATTTTGCTAAACTAGCTAGGAAATATCAAAAGTCTGTTGCTTTTGATCAGAAGCAACATATATTCTAATGACCCTAAGCTTAAGGAAAAGAAAATGTGTGGTTCAATGACACTTGGTTAAAAGAGGAATGGACCAAAAGGCAGCAAACCTAGCTTCCCAGCTGCACAGCCTTAAACAAAGTTCTAAATATCTCTCTTCCATTTTTACACCTGACAAAGAAGAATTAATGATGTCTGTTTCAGTCTATTGTCTGTTGCTGGAACAAAACACATAGACTGGATAATTTACTAAAAATATTTTTTTCTTCACAGTTCTAGAGACTAAAATGTTTAAGGTCTCTAGAGACTAAAGAGTGTCAAGGTATTGACCTCTGCCAAGGGCCTTCTTGCACTACAATGACATGACAGAAGGCGGAAGAGCAAGTGAGTGCTTGATACAGAGGGGAAGGGGGACAAACTGATCCATGTATCAGGAGCTACTCTAGCAATAATTAACCCACTCCTGCCCTGATGGCCTTAACTCTTCACAAGGGCTGAGCCCTCCTGATTTCAACACCTCACTAAGACCAGTGGAATAGAGGAAGGGAATTGAGTGGGCAGGAGGAAGGATGGGGAAAAGGAAGACAGGTAGAGCGAATCTGAGCTACCATCCCTATGTACATATGTGAATGCACCGAAGTGAATCTCACCTTTGGGTGTTACTAAATTTAAAAAATCATAAGTAATTCGAAAGATCAGTATGGAAGAGAACATGGAATGGAAGAGTGGAGAGAAAGGAGAAGTACTGGGGTTTAAGTTAGAGCAAATTATATTCCATGATTTTATAATCATGTCAAAATGAATCCTAATATTATATATAACTAAAAGGAACCAATAAATTTTTTTAAAAAAATAAAAGGAATGCACATTTCATGAATCATAAAAAATATGTCTAGGTCAGAAAAAAAGTGTGAAATAAATCAAATATTAGCTTGATTTTAGAGTCATTTTGATAATGTCTAATTTCTGATTGTAAATAAGCAATCTGATTTATAAATTCAATCTTCTCCTGAGTGCCCCAGGGCACCAAGTTCATGTGTCATGTTCATATCATTTGCCAGAATAAGTTATACTGCTGTTCTTCTTTCCATTAGAAATTGGTGATGTGACTAGAAAATAATGCTTAGATGTATATGTTAAGGAAATATCTTAGAATACAAAAATGTCACTTAATGCAAAAATACATCTGGAATTCAATAATTCATTTTATAGTAAAAATTAACATAAGGAATGTTATTGAAAAAAATATGAAAAATGTAATTTCACTTAGTATAAGAAAATTTCTTATTATTTGCTTAAAGTAACAAAATAGAACTTCTGAAATCACAAAGTTCAACATTCAAGAATCCAAGGTGACATCAAGATGAAGAAATCTAAATAATATGATACTTTTTCCTCTGATGTACTCTCATTTAATAAACAATTATTAAGTGCCCATTATGTAACAAGTGCTATATGAGGCACTATATATATTGCCTGTAAAAAAGTTGAAATAATGTTTATTGAACATCTAACAGATACTAGGAAGTCTGGTAGATGTTTTTAATTTACAGTTTCACTTGAGACCCCCTCAAATATACAATAGTTATTATTTTTCACTGAGTGTAAAATGTGGGACCAAAAGATTATTATTCTTACTTTGGATACTATAATAGCAAGACTTAGCAATAGTTAATTTTTTTGAACCCAGTTTTCTCTTTATTGCTCCTTTGATACTATTGATAATATGTCTAAAATGACAGAATCATTTAAAATGCGTGAAAAGAGTATTTACAATTTAAAATATACCCATATCCAGAATCCAAGATAATATAGGTTGTTTTGTATACCCATCCTTACAAAGACTCTGACTTGTGTAGTACATGGAATTTGAAGGTATCTATTTATGGTTCGAGAATATTCAGTTATGATATTCTCATGCTCGTTTTCTCTTATGGTGAGTTCACAGGAATTTTGTTTTAAGAAGGCAGTGTTTATTCTTGAACATAACTGATGACTCTTAAAGAATTGTTCAGCAAATCTTTCAGTAACATTTCACTTGCTTATTTTTCATTATAAGTTGAATTTTTGAATTCAAAGTGTAATTTTGTACTGATCAACTTTTTGTTTTCCAAAATATTTCATTAATGTATACATCTAAGCATTGTTTTCTAGGAAAATGGTCTGTTTAAGTCTAACTCACTGAAGATTATTAGCTTTGTTTACATAGATTGGAATCTACAGGTGACCTAAAGTTGAGCATGCATCACAACCCACTGGTAGCAAATTGACAATGATGCAAGAGTTCGTCTGGGAAAACAAAATGAAGGTGATTGCACTGAAAACCTTCTTGCCAAGGGGGGGGGGAAACATACCACCTTAAAATGAATTCCCACTAAATAAACAACAAAGAGGATGAGACATGTAATACTGTATTGGAATTATTTGACTGTTACTGAGTTTGGGGGTGTGTATAACTGCCTCTGAGGTTAGGAGTTTGTTTGAGGTTAGGAGTTTGTTTTTTTTGTTTTTTGGTAACTTCATGTTTAGAATAAAATCAGGCTGGTAAATTAGGGAAGAGCAAATAGTAGCCAGAAATAGCTAAGTTTGTAAATTTGCAGCTTAAAATTTCCAAAAGTGATAAATGTTAACTATTCCACATTAACCCATTGCACATACACTTTCCCCTGATGAGAGGTTAAATATGCAAAATCCTATTGGATCCATTTATACATAGAGAAAACACACTCAGAGAAGGCATTTTAACTTATCCACGGAATTTCCTATTCCATTGGCCTGTCTGCACACCATGCTGCTTCTGATGTTGTGGAGGAGGCAATGTCAGGGTTAGACTGCTGAGACCAGCATAGGAGCCTTCCCTAAACTACCTCTGATTGCTTAGAAACACACAGTAGGTCAGAAACTGTGGTGCTGGGCCCACCGTGCTGATAGGAAACTCAGGAGTAGCAGAGTGGGGTATGTAAAAAGGCCAGCTGGGGTGTTCAGTGGGGCAGCTGGGGACAGGGTTGGGACAGTGCGGAGGGGGCGGAGCGCTGCGAGGGTGCTGGTGCCCACCTGCGCAGCTGGAGCCCCGCCCGCCACCTTCCACCAGCAAGTCTCGCTCGGCGCCCGCTCGCCCTCGCCCATGGGCACTCACTCACGGTCCGGGACAGTTTCAAATCTTGGTTGAGCCACTGACAGAGGATCTCAGACATGGCTCGCCCGCGCTTTGGACCTCAAGCGGGTGCTAGAAACTCTCCAGGAACCGGACTCTCTGGCTCGCGTCCTCCTGTTGCTCAGGGCAACCTGTTGCTAAGGAAGCGTCTCCAGGGTAGAGCCAGGTGACAAGTTCAAAGAAGAGGGGGTGCAGAGCACTGCAGCAGGAGACAGAAATCGTGGCCCGCCCCCTGCTGGCGGGTAAGACCTGAGCTTGCGCACGCAATAGCAGGAGGCTGCTAAGGGTCGGCTAGCAATTATAAAACAAAATAAAAGGTTTCTTTTTAAAAGTGTTACCTGTCATTTGAATTATGTATCTTTCTCTTCTGTAAAAAAAAAATCAAAGTGTGGACTGCAAAGAGTTATTCTGAGATCACAAGCTGGTTTGAAGAGTGGTGCTGTGTACTGAAATACAATTTGTTGGGGAAAAAACAAAAACAAAAACCTAATTCTTTAAAAAATCATTGGAGACTTTTTCATAATTGGAATTTTTGCACTATCAATTATGTCCAAGCTTGTAACTAGATATGACTGGGTCCTGACGTCTTTTTGAGCTGACTAGCGCTTTCATTTGGGGGGAAAAATAAAGAAATAAACAAACTACTTAACCTTTCTACTTCTCATCACTTTAGATCATTCTATTATCTCTCCTCAGCATGTTTTACAATGACCTTGCTCACTTACCATTGATTGATGCAAAAAAACATTTGTCCTCATGACCACAATAATGATTAGTCTGGGTTTCCTTGCTTTTTCTTCTCTAGTCTATCCTGTGCAACACGTACAATTGATATCCTTAAAACCCTATTCTATTCCTATACTCACTTTCGTGAATTGCACTAGAGCATTGTTTACTTTCATGCAGAAAATGGAATTCCTTTGGTGGATCACTGAAGAATCCTTAAGTGAAATTGTACCAGATAAACTTGAATAAAAAGTATCAGAGGACATTGCATGTAATAAGGCTAAATAGATGGAAGGAATAAATATTTGAGGGAAGGAAGAGCATCTTTGCTTTATTTGGGCAATTGTACATACTTGTGTGTATGTGTATATATGTATATATATGCCTATATGGGGGAAATTATTTCTTATCATGAGTCATAGTCAATAAAATTCCAAAGCCACTGTCCTGGAGGATGAAGACCTTATTGAAAGTTATTTATGATCTATCCTCAGCCCAATCCTAAGCATACACCAATCTTGTTCATATTTCTTTCCCAGGTCCCAACTTTTCTACCTTAACATTGGTCTTCCATCCTCCTCCTGCAAAAAGAGAAGTTTCTTTTCTGAAGTCAATCCTGTCTGTTCTTCAGGGTCTGGTTTATCAGCCACCACCTTCACTGAGCCTCCTCCTTCCCCCCTCCATTCTTCCAATCCCACCTGTATTCTGAAAGCTCAAAATAAGTGCTTTCCCTTTAGCTCTCATTCCAGACCCCTAACTCTTTCTAATTGCCCACAGCTTGGCCAGAAACTCAGTTTTGCAATCTTCATAATGTATTTCTCAACTCTTTCAAATGAGTGTTGATTTGAGCTCCAAGAAGAGGAGATAACTTCAGCTCTTGTTTCTACGGCAAACAATATTGTGAAATTTAAATTCCATTTCAAAATTCTTCGTCGTCTTTACCCTGAAGCAGATAGATATTTTGGGGTCTTATTTTCAATGTCTGTGTGGTTTGTCTTATATATGGATTGCATCTTTTTCAGGTAAACATTTAAATTTCCAGTCTTAGAAAGTAATTGGGTTTGAAATAAAATCAAGTCAAAAGACAAATTCACAATTTGATTTCATATGAGAAAAATTGAATCACATGTTCGATAATTGAAGAAGATAAGCCAAAATTTATCAGAATTCTTTTTCTAATTTCTTATTTCCTCATGCTCAATAGTCATAGGATCTAAATTAGTCTTAAGTCTATTAAGTTTAAGCTAAATTTAAATTTTATCTGTTAAATTTTGAGCCCTAAATTTATGTCTGAGCCCTAAATTATGTCCCTGCCCTAACAAAGAAATTAAGCATAACAATAAATCCTCTCAGCTTTGATGACTACAATCAAATGATTTTTATACCAATACCAAACTTGTACAGATAGAGTGCCCATCTTATCTCTCTCACAGATTATACTTCCAAGAAAACTGAATCTCTGTTTGTGCCAAGTGTCACAATCAACTCCTTTGTACTTTATCACTAAAAAACACTTTCCAGAGAATCAATGTTTGGATGAGTTAAGAAATCCTGAGAATCACTGTTCTCTGTACTTTTACTCTTGATATTTCTTTATTATGATTTTGATATCCTATATGTATACAGCAATTCATTCTATATTTCCGAATAATTGTGAGACTATTTTTAAATTTCATCTTGCTGTTTCTCCCTCCTTAGAAATCTGTAATTTTCCCTCATTTCCTATTAAGATTATAGGCAGGCCTTTCAGTTATGCCATAATTCTATTATTTTCTATTTGGTGAACCTTTATAATTCTGCATATTCATAAAAAATGACAATGGATCATGCTAATTCCTGGCTTTCTTCTTTCTGTCCAGTTGGACCAAAGCTGGTTCAAATTGAAATTCTTTCCGGAAATTATCATTGAAAGACCCCCTTCCTCTCAACTTCAGTTGGCTGAGGTGCCCCAGTAAAATCTGAGATATGCGAATATGTGTTTTTAATTTCTACGTACCCAAAATTTGGAGCTGTGCTTGCCAAAAGGGTCATTCAAGAAGTGCTGTCACATGAATGAGTGCAGCCAACAGGCCTTTTAACACGCACCTCTCATTTTACCATCTACGTATTATGTTGTATGTTTATTATTCTTTGGTGTCATGGGCTGGATCCAATTCCTTTGTACTTAGGAGAATGACAATCACAAAAAGACATGGGAACTGCTTCTTCCTACAGCTTGCTTCCAGTTATGGCCTGATGGAAGAGGTGTATCACACTTTTCATTCCCTAACTATCAACTGTAAAGCTGGAAAAATGCATCTTTTCAGGTACTGGATGGGTAGTGCACACTCATCTCAGCTTTCTCAAAGAAATGAGCACCAGACAGACCAAAGGTCTTGTGTGGAGGAAATTAAGATTGTAAAACGAGGCTGATCGAAGTTCTGGATAGAATAATGGAGATGGGATAATGGAGAAGAAGCTACATAGGAAAGGAGCTCTAGAAACAAGCTTGATATTTCCATTAGTCTTTGGCCAAATATAAACTGTTCATGCCAACTGCAATATAATGAGAGGTTCTGAAGGTCCCACATTGCTAAGAGTTACTGGAGTTCCAAGCAGATGGGAAAAAAAAATCAATGAACTCTCAGTATTTAGGTAAAAAAACCAGAAAAAAGTTTTTTTGATATTGTTTCATTGTAGAGCAACTTTAGCCACAGTGTAAGGGTTAACAAAGAAAAAAAAAAGAAGAAGAAGAAGAAGAAAGAAAGAAAAGAAACAAAACTTAAGTAAGCCAAAGCTCATTATCCAATTAATTAATTCTATAATTGCAATTAGTATTAAAACTATATAAAATTATTGGGCTGGGGATATAGCTCAGGTGGTGGAGTTCTTGCCTTGCATGCACAGGCCCTGGATTCAGTACCCAGGACCACACATACACACACACACACATACACACACAAATCAATATAAAGTTATAGCTGGAAATTTTCACACTTCACTCTCAGTAATTGATAATGAAGACAGAACCTTCATTACTAACATAAAAAACTTAAAAATACCCATCCTGTCAACCAAATTAGCATAAATTTTATATATATTTATATAGCAACATAATTCTTCTCAAGCATATATGGAACATTCACTAAGAAAAATATTTTAGCTTACAAGATGAGTTTCAATAAATTTAAAGTAATTGAAATTATGCAAGCATGTTCTCTCACCACAATGGAGTTAAAATAAAAATAGGACTATATCTGTAAAATTTCATAATATTTAAACATTAAGCAAAATACTTCTAAATAATCCAAAAACCAAAATAAAGTCACTAGCAAAATTAGGAAATACTTTATTGAATGATGATGTAACTCAATAGATAAAAATTTTTTTCAGAAATCACTGAAAGTGATGCTTGAAAGGAAATCTACTACTTAAGTTTTTCACATGAGAAAACAATAGAGATATGAAATCAATGATCTGTACTTTCATTTTAAGAAACTTAAAATAAGAATCAAACACAAAGTAGATTAAAGGGGATAAAAGTAGAACTCACGGAAATTGATAATAGAATTCCAATAGAGAAAATTGTAAAAATCAAAGGATAATTCTTTTGAAAATCTAAAATCCTATTCAGACTTATCAATGAAAAAAAAAAGTTATTGATAAGAACAGGAGACATAATTACAGATACTACAAATATTCAAAGACAATGACGGGGGCTGCCTAGCATTCACAAACCCCTGGGGTCAATCCCCAGCACCACACACACACACAAAAAAAAGACAATGAAACATTTTGAAATTTTATAACAATAAAATTAGCAATACAGATGAAATTTCTTGAAAGCTACAAACTACCAAAGCTCATTCAAGATGAACTAGATAACAGAGTACATGCCTATAATTTTTTAAATAATATATTGTTCTTGACTTAAAATGATCAGATCTGTGCTTTAGTGTTCTGGGCAGGTACACCTAGATGGTTCTCAGTAAACATTTTCTTGCCATCTCAGATCCTTTCTAAATATCGTGGTAAACAATGCTGACTAGGGCTTCCCTCATTACTCAATTCTCACTCATGTTTCACTCAGTGTGAATGTATAGTAAAGCAATGCATAGTAAACCATGCGTTTAATTCAGAACTATAATAAACTGTTTAATAAACTTTTCCAGTACATGAAAATTTTCCTCAGAAAAATGGACAATATCTCAAGATCAGAGGCTTTTCCTTCCTTCCTTCCTTCCTTCCTTCCTAACTTCCTTCCTTCCTTTCTTTCTTTCTTCTTTCTTCTTTCTTTCTTTATCTGTTTACTTTTTTATTTACTTTTGGTACTAGAGATTCAATCCAGGGCCTTATGCATGCTAGGCAAGCACTCTATCACTGAGCTAACCCCCAGTCTTATTTTGGCTTATTATGTAGCATTCGCAGTCACCATCAAGTCCACATCACAGGAAA